CTTGAATCCAAGCCTCAGCACTAGTATAAAAGAAAAAAATTAGGTCAGGGGCTGGCGGCTCATGCCTGTAATCCTTGCTACTCAGGAAGCTGAGATCTGAGGATTGAGGTTCAAAGCCAGCCCAGGCAGGAAAGTCCATGAGACTCTTATCTACAATTAACCACCGGAAAATTGGAAGTGGTGCTGTGGCTCAAGTGGTAGAGTGCTAGCCTTGAGCTGAAGAGCTCAGGGACAGCGCCCAGGCCCAGAGTTCAAGCCCTACAACTGACAAAAACAAAACAAAACATGTTGTCCATGGGCTGACATTTGGGGGTGGGGATAATAGGTCCTCCAGCTTGAACTCAGGGCTTGGTGACTGTTTTGAAGCCTTTTTGCCTAAGGCTAGCATATTACCACTTGAACCACAGCTCCACTTTTGGCTTTTTACTGGTTAATTGGAGATAAGAGTCTCACAGACCTTCCTGACTCTGCTGGCTTTGAACCACAATCCTCAGATCTCAGCCACCTGAATAGTTAGGACTGCAGATGTGAACCATGCATGGGCTGACTTTTTTAAGTGTAAGAAAGTGAAGTAGATCTTTTAATGGGAAGTAATGGGCACCTTTTTATTTCTACATAGTAGTGTGTTCTACAATGTCACCCATACATTGGACAGCTGTTCCTTTCTTAACAACTCTCCAAGCCTCCAAATATCCCACTTAGACAAAAGAATTGAATGCTGCACTGTGCATCTCAATTACAATCTGTTACAAATTACAGATGCTGGAGAATGGAGGGCTGTGTGCCTGCATCTCAGCAGCCACATTTCATGTTTGTTATCCCAGCTACACTGGAGACATAAGCAGAAGGCAAGAGTGAACTGCCACCATAGCCTGTCTTCTGTGACCTGGAGCTGGCCCATTGGGTATGTATCAGGGAGTCAGTCTAAGCACTGTTAAGCTCAGAATATCTTGGCCTGTATATTGAGGGACTCCAGGGTCTGAAACAAAGGAACTGGAGCAGGGCGCTGGTGGTTCATACCTGTAATCCTAGCTACTCAGTAGGCTGAGATACAAGGATCACAGTTCAAAGCCAGTCTGGGCAGGAATGTCTGTGAGATTATATCCAATTAACCAGCAAAAAGCCAGAAGTGGAGCTGTGGCTCAAGTGGCAGAGCACTAACCTTAAGTAAAAAACTTCAGGGACAGAGCCCAGGCCCTGAGTACAAGTCCCAGAATGGATACAATACAAAAAAGATATGAAGCCCGGCGCCGGTGGCTCATGCCTGTAATCCTACTTAGAAGGCTGAGATCTGAGGATCATGGTTCAAAGCCAGCCCGGGCAGGAAAGTCCATGAGACTCTTATCTCCAATAAACCACCAGAAAAACTGGAAGTGGGGCTGTGGCTCAAGTGCTCAAGTGGTAGAATTCTCACCTTGAGCTAAAGAGCTCAGGAACAGAGCTCAGGCCCTGAGTTCAAGCCCAGGACCAGCGTGCACACGTGCGCGTGTGTGCGCGCGCACACACACACACACACACAGTGTTATTGGTGCTTGAACTCAAGGCCTCTCACTCTTCCTTGGCATTTTTACTCAGACTTGTACTCTACAACTTGAGCCATACCTCCACTTCTTTCTCCTAGCTATTTGAACGTAAGTTTCAGGGACTTGTCTGCTCAGGCTGACTTGAGCTAAGAACCTCAGTTCAGATCCTCTCAGCCTCTTGAGTAGCTAGGATTATACTTGTGAGTCATTGGCATCTGGCCATGTATTTCATTTTATGGTTTAAAACCTTATTTTTGGCTTTGGAAAACTACTTAAAGAAAATAAAATATCTGAGTGCCAGTAGCTCATACCTGTAATTCCAGCTACTCAGGAGGCTGAGGTCTGAAGATTATAGTTCAAAGCCAGAGTGGGCAGGAAAGTTTGTGAGACTATCTCCAGTTAACCACTAAAAAGCCAGAGTAGAGCTGTGGCTCAAGTGGTAGAGCTCTAGCCCTGAGCATTTGTGCTCAGGGACAGTGCCCAGGCCCTGAGGTTTAAGATATATAGATATAGATATATAGATATTTAAATGCTTCTTCTGAGAAAGGCTCTACAGGTTTCACAACATGCCAATGAAGCCTATTGCCCATAGGTTAATAAACTGTTGATGAGGATAAAAGCATGAGCTTGCTTCCCTACTCTATTCTCCCCAGTGGGAAGAGCTAGACCTTCTGGAGAGATCCATAGTTCTCCAGTCTTGCTTGGGACAGACTGGAAATATCGCTCTAATATCAGGGTGCAGTATTAGGAAACCAGATTTGCCCCATGTCCTTGGATATGTGGGCATTGCTTTAAAGGAGAATCAATGTATGTCCGGCTAGCCAATTTCCTGAATCTCACAGCTGGTTTCAAACTATGACAGAAATCTTACTTATTAGCTCCCCTTAAACACAAACATATAGCTAAGTGACAAAATGCTCTCTGTCCTATCTCCCTATGCTTTGGGGTCACTGCAACCATAGGATGACCTAACTGGGGACAGGCCCACATCCTGTCCTCAGGAAGGCAGTGGAGAAGGTCATGTGGGAAAGAATCTGGTATCTGGCCCTAGGAGGCTTGGATCCAGATAAATCTTGGCTCTGACACATTGCAGCTGGGTGACCTTGAGAAAATTACTTAGGACCCCAAGTGCCTTGTTTCCTCTTCTCTAATTGTACAGTGGTTCTGAAAGAACTATGTAAAAACATGTCAAATAGGTAGAATAATACCAGCATGTTGAGAGAACAGAGGGAGAAAACCTCCCTTATTTAACAGGCTAGGTAATTCTCAAATGCAGTTAAAGTAGCTCAGTACACTTTCCCTGTAGACAAAATAAATCTTGAAACTGTGAAGGGTTATTTGATTAGATTTTACTGAAAATGATAGTTACCTGAAACACTGCGAAGACTCTGTCCAAATAGAACAAAGTCAGTTTTCCCTAATCAACAGGTTGACTTGATATCATTTAAGGGAGGCCATATGCAATAAGGAGAAATGACCCCGTTGTTTTTCATTGGAAAAGGGAAGGGGGGATATGAGGAGCTCAAGGCTCTAGAGATAGTGTGTCTGGTAAGAAAACAAAGATCTTTCTGTTACTTTGATAAAAGAAGAGCTTCTTTTGTAGGACTGGGTGTTTTTCAAACAGAAATAAAATAAGAAATAACTTCTCAAACTTGTCATTTATAAATAAGCACAGAGTCTACACGCCGATCCACATAGGCAAACTTCATGGGTAGAATACATTTTTTTTCTTGGAATTTTGTTTCTATCATCTTGCCTATGTTCTGAAATCTGACTCAGTAGAATAAGCTATGAAATTCGGGAGCCTTTTCTCCCCCCTCCTCCCTATGATTTCTTCTGAGTGCCCATTTTAATAGAGAGAACATTCACTTTCTACTAGCAGTTGATCCTATTGTGACTCTAGCTTAAATTGCTTACAGATAAACTTACATGAAGGCCGAATAAGATCTAGATTCTAAGTGGCATGCTTCCATCTCTAGTCTGCATTTTCTCTCATGCTACCAGGCTAAGCAATGTAGGGACTCCTCCTCATATAGGTTTGAAAAGAAATATACATTCTGGGAATTTAATCAGGGAACCTGTGGCAATGACCTCAAATGACCAATCTAGATGGAGACCACTGGAAGAGAAGGAACAAAGCGCAGCCAATGTTAAACAGAAACAGAACAGAATTTATTTCCCTCCCCAGCAATGGAGGGCTCAATAGCACTCACGAATAGCTTCTGCTGTAGCTCCCACCAGTACTTGAAAGGACCAGATAGAGAGGGAGGAAGGACTCCAAGCTGGAGACCTTGTGAGGGCAGCTCCCAAGGTCAAGCATCAATTCTTCCTCAGTTGCTTTCTGCACTGGCTCAAAGCTCGGGCACCACTGGCAGTGAGGTGCAGGGTGCTGTGCTGGTCTCTCCTAAGGAAACTTGGACTAGCTGGTTTGAAGTTGGTGCAATCTTCCGTGAGCAGCATTCGTAGGACAGTAGAACAACAATACCATAGGATGATAGTGCATAGCACTGGTTATTGGTCCTTTACTAATTGCCTTCAAAACTGATGATGACATTTCCTTTTTTCTGCTTTTAGGGTAGGAGGTTAGGGAAAGGGGCAGATAAACATACATGTATACTTGTAAAAACAATTCATGCAGGCAGACTGGGCTTCAAAGTTGCAACAGAGAAGCTATAAAAGGCACTAAATGAACCGACAAGCAGGATGATGTATACATCAACAATCAAATATTATTCAGGCACAACGGAATCAAGTACATATTACAACACAAGTAAATAAATCTTGTCCTGATACATATTACTACGTGAACACATTTTTTAACTGATTTCATATTGCAACATGAGTAAATCATGAAAACAAGACAAGTGAAAGCACATTTTTTGTACAGTCTCATTACAGGAAACATTTAACACCATTCAGAAGGTTGAGATCTGAGGATCACAGTTCAAAAGCATCAGGGATAAGAAAATCCCTGAGATTCTTTTTTTTTTTTTTTTTTGCCGGTCATGGGGCCTGAACTCTGGGTCTGGGCGCTGTCCCTCAGCTCTTCAGCTCAAGGCGAGCGCTCTACCACTGGAGCCACAGCACTACTTCCGGCTTTTTCTGTTTATGTGGTGCTGAGGAATCCAACCCAGGGCCTCATGCTTGCAAGGCATGCACTCTACCACTGAGCTACCTTCCCAGCCCCTCCCTGAGATTCTTATCTCCAATTAACAACCAAATAAGCCAGAAGTGGCTCAATCAAATGGTAAGAACTCTAGCACTGAGCAGAAGGCAGAGGAACAGAGTTCAAGCCTCAGGACCAGTACAAAAAAAAATTTAAAAAGAAAGAAAATTGGTGGAAGCGAAAGCCTTGGGATAGTGAGGACTAAGTGCTTGATGGATACAGGGAAAGAAAAAGAAAAACTGATTTAGAAATGCAAGGAAGCTGTGGAAATAAAGAGTGAACAATGAAATAGATTTCAAGTGTTCACTTACCTTTCTGCAAGGAATTACTGTTCTAAAAATGGAATTATAACTGTAAATGTAAATATAAAATGGAAATTAAATACAGACAGTGAGAGATAAAAAGCCACACCAGGCCAGGCATGAGTGTCTCACGCCTGTAATCCTAATGCTTTGGGAGGTTGAAATCTGAAGACCGAATTTCTAAGCCAGCCTGGGCAAGAAAGACTATGAGACATTTTGTTTTTGCCAGTTCTGGAGCTTGAACTCAGGGCCTGAGCACTGTCCCTGAGCTTCTTTTGCTCAAGGATAGCACCACTCCCAGCTTTTTCTGTTTATGTGGTACTGAGGAATTGAACCCAGGGTTTCATGCATGCTAGGCAAGCACTCTACCACTGAGCCACATATCCAGCCCCTCTATGAGACTTTTATCTCCAATTAGACACCAAAAAGTAAAGTGTTGAACAGCAGCCTAAATGGTAAAGTGCTAGCCTCAAGCACAAAAGCTCAGGAACAGTGCCCAGGGCCTGAATTCAAGCCACAGGACATCACACACACACATACAAAATAAAGCCACACCAGTAGTGCCTTTTATAGACCAGCAATAGACCTGAAGGAGGACAGCTAGGTTGAGAGGGAACACAAAATGCAAGGAGACCCTTTGAGAGGCAGGGGACAGAGGGGTTAAACTGCTCCTGACTGACATATTCAGTACCCATATGACACCTTATTTATTGCACTTTCTGTCAATTTTCTTTTCAAATTGCATTTTCAGTAATTACATTTCATACTTTATAAACAAACCTTTGAAATGAAATAAATACCACATTCACCTGGAAGAATTTTTTCACTTCCAATCTATAATAATACAGATTCTATATTCTTCCCACTTCTTTATTTACCACACACTGGGAAACCATTTTTAGAGGGTCCAGTCTGAGACACAGGGAGACCTGGATGAACCTTGAGGGCATCTTGTAGCATGAAATGGCCAATCACCAAATGATAGACACAGAATGAAGCAAGAAGGTCAAGAGTCTCTATGGGGACAGAAAACTGGATGGGACATCTAGGGGCTAAAAGATAAAAAATGAGGACTTGGGTTTCCATTTTAGGAGGTAGAAAAGTTCTAGAACTCTGTTGCTCAACTTCATTAAAAATGTATCTTATATTTTTGACTGCAATTGAAACTCCTATAAAACAGTTCATCTTGCTAAAATATTGAGGTGATATACACCCTTGATGTAATTTTATTGTTTAGGGGAACTCTAAATTGGAAGACTTATAAATGAACCTAGTTTCAATGTGGAATCATGTTAGGACAATAAAAATAACCATGTCAACAATTAAAATTAAGGAAAGCAATGGCAGTTTGTAAATGCCCATTCCTGTTTTTATGTTAAAAAAAATCATGGGCCTGGGCTACTGTGCAAAGTTTGAAGTTTCAAAGGTAAACTACAGAGCTGTTAAAAAGTACCAAAAAGCAAGTAAAAGGTTGGAATTTATTTAAGTCAAAGCTGATGTGCTTTGTGAGATGCCAAGTAAGGCAAGACTCAGGGCTTCTGCATAGTTGAGCTGGCTTTCTTTGCTCTCCCTTCTCTCTGACTTGTGTGTCTGGAGCCATGAGGCTGAGCATTCTGGATGGTCAATGTGGCCTGGGGAAATGAAGCCTGCCTGACACTTTGCTGTGCACTCTGGGCTTGTACCTGCACCTGCTGTGGCTGGGCAGGAGGAGGGGACTGGCAATTCTGCAAAATAATGTTGTGCCCAGTTTTTGACTGCTCCAATAGAGTTGCGTGGGGCAGTAGGAAACTCCCCAATCCCTTAACTGTAATGACAACAGCTGGCTGGGTCTTTGGGGCAGGCTGACTGCTAGATCCCTCAACAAAAGCTTGGGGCACTGGGGGTCGTAGAGACTGTTTCTGTGGAAGCAACTGATAAATCTTGGGCTTGGGGTTCAAGATGGCAGGACTAGATGGAATCTGTACAGTTACAGGATGTGCACTGTGATTCACAATAAACTGCAGCCTCAATTGAGTAACTGTTGAGGCCACAGAATCACTGGGAGGAGGGACTTGCCCAGGAATGAGGGCATCAGAAGCACAGACCACGCTATTGACAGAGCCACTTACCAGAGATGAAGACTTTTGTTCTGGGTCTTCTACCTTGCTGGCTTTCAGGTTGCTTGAGTAGAAGGAAGTCCTGGTGGTCTGGATGCTTTTTGATGAGCTTGCAGGAGGCTTGGCATCTGGAAGCAGTTGGCTTCCTCTGCCAACCCCTGCACTGGATTCCTGATCCAGGCTGGCTGGCTTGGGAGCAGGGGGGAAAGGAGGAGGAAGGAGAGTGCAAGCAGGATTAGGAACATCATCCTTGAATTTCAGAGATTTACTGACCTGCCGCTCCGAATGGCTGGGACTTGGGTATCTCTGTACAGAACTGCAAAATAAAACAAAAAAAAAGAGTGACACATGAATCTGGAGCTGTGACTCCCACCTCCCTTGCAAATCCCAAGGAAGAAGATAGAACTCACCTGGTGCTAGGCAAACTGAACTTCTCTGAGTAGGCGTGGCTGAGATCAGCTGAGCCACCGGACTTGGGTGATGTCTTGGGGGACACTAGGAATGCAGGGTTGGTCTGGACAGATTTGTGGCATGTACTAACAACTCTGCCATCATCGCTCTCTGAGTTGGCCACAATGAAATTGGTGCTAGGCAAACTGAACTTCTCTGAGTAGGCGTGGCTGAGATCAGCTGAGCCACTGGACTTGGGTGATGTCTTGGGGGACACGAGGAATGCAGGGTTGGTCTGGACAGATTTGTGGCATGTACTAACAACTCTGCCATCATCGCTCTCTGAGTTGGCCACAATGAAATTGGTGCTAGGCAAACTGAACTTCTCTGAGTAGGCGTGGCTGAGATCAGCTGAGCCACTGGACTTGGGTGATGTCTTGGGGGACACGAGGAATGCAGGGTTGGTCTGGACAGAGTTGTGGCATGTACTAACAACTCTGCCATCATTGCTCTCTGAGCTGGCCACAATGAAATTGGAAGAGTCACCTGAGATGATCCTGGAGGTACTCATCGAGCTGTCATGTTTAGATTTTTTAGGTGCCTGTATATGTTCAGGGAGAAATGTTTTACCAAATGGTGGCATCTTCTTCAACTCCCAGCCGGGTTTCCATGCAAGCATTTCTCTTACTTCGGGAGTAAGCCAGTCTGTTTTCTGGGAGTTACCCGATGGGACAGACGGCTTCCCTTTAGCATATTTTTGCACATCCACGTGAGAAGGAGCGTCTAAGTCACAGGACTTCTGCTGCCATGTGTCCACACACTTCGCTGTTGTTGAAATAGTCGTATTATAGGGGTATCCCTTTCTTTTTTCTGCTCGTTTTCTGCAAGAAATCTTTGCCTCGAGCTCAGGAGGAGCTGTGAATCGAGGCAGCTCCTGTTGCCAATTCACAGAAGGCCATGGAGACCCTAAGAAGCTCCATTTTCTTGAGTTGTTCTTCATGGTCTGCTTGTTGCCTAGCTTGCTCTTGGTAGAGCAGGTGCCCAAGAAAGAAGGACCAAAGCACAGTGGATCTTCTTTTGCTAACATCAGCTGGTTCTCGAACTCAAATTTCTCTTCCTGAGTCTGCCAATGGCCACCCATTCTCATGGACTCCACTAAAGTCTGCCTGGCTGGTCTCAAGAGAACATGCCGACTTTGGTAATCAGATAGTTCCCTATTACTGTACTGCCTATAGTCACGAATTTCTGCTATGACACAGCCATGGTGAGAAAGATTCACCTCAGATTTTTCCAGGATATTGAACAGAAAGGGAGGTAATTCTTCTGCATCTAAATACTCAAGCATCGTCTCTTTTGAATAAGTCAGTGCTATGGTCTCTGAAAGGGAGCCATCTTTGTCTTTGATCCTAACAGTAAAGTCCCAATTTTCTGGGCTGAGTGTGATTACTAGACATGGGAAGGCCTCTCTCCTGAGCAGCTTATCTAGCAAGCTCTCATTGCTTCTGAACTCCTTTACCTCGGGTTTTTTCCCACATTCTTCAATGTACAGGTCATAAAGTTTTTCCTGTAGAGATTTTTCCTCACGAGGTAAGGGCTTCTTTTTAAAGGGGTTCTTTTTGACATGCGTCTTGGCATTCTTCGTATCTTCCGATGCGTGTTCTGGATGTTTCTGCATGGTCACACAGGACAGGAGCGCTAAAAGAGAAGAACTTATGGCGGTCAGTGGGGGGGGGTAGGGAAGTGGGGGACGGGGGTGTAGAAATTATTTCAGTCATGCTACTTATATTTCTTTGAAAGTTCACAACTCGGCACAAGTGGAGGAGCTGCGGCGCTCAAATGGCCCAGTGGCAGCCATGAGAGAAAAGGCGACGGAACAGCCGCCCGACCCTGAGTTCAAGTCCCGCTCCCACCATGTTGGCCCGTGCACACACAGCAAAATGAATTCAATCGATAAATAAACGAGCACAAGGCCCCGAGAACCTGTCACAGGATTGAGGAGGGAGGAAAATGGGCGAAAATGGTGGACACAAATTTAAAAAAAACCCAAACTTTACAACTGCGCATAGAAACCTCTCCTCACCAAAGAAACGACGCCCCTAGCCACAACTACATGGAGTTTTTGAGAATTTATGACCAAAACTGTACCTACTGGGCACAACTCCTACAATTTTCTTGGGTTTTCCCGCTCGTCCACCGACTCCGTCCTCACCTCAGAGTCTTCGGTTCGCCGGACGCGAACTACCTCAGGCGAGAAAGGCAAGCGGCGTTCCACGCATGCGCAGTAACAAACGCGCCAAAACTCCAGAAGTCCTAGACACACCCTCAGAAGCCCTAGCAAGAACCCCAGAAACCCTAGCGGCTGCTAGGGACGGTGGCCGTGATGGGTCAGGCCAGACTGATTTTTTTCATATATAACACGCACCAGCAACAATGTGACACTTAAAAAAAACATTTTGTCAGTCGTGGGGCTTGAACTCAGGGCCTAGGTGCTGTCACTGAGCTTTTTTTGCTCAAGGCTAACACTCTACCATTTTGAGGCACAGCTCCACTCCCGGTTTTCTGGTGGTTAAATTGGACGTAAGAGTCTAATGGACGTTCTTGTCCAGGCTGGCTTTGAATCATGATCCTCAGATCTCAGCCACCTGAGTAACTAGGATTACAGATGTGAGCCACCAGCACCTGGGGATAGCTTATTTTTTTAAGGCTGGATAATATTCCAATGTCTAGATATACCACAGTTTATCCACTCACTTACTAAAGGACATCTTATTTACAATTTTTAGTAATTATGACCAATACTGCTATAAACATCTATGTGCAGGTTGGACATGCATTTTCACCTCATTTGGATAAATATCAAAACATGCAATTACTGAGTAGAGTAATAAGAGACTTCATTTTATTAGACATCACCTTCCTGCACACTCCCACCCATGATGGATGAGTGTTCATGTTCTTCCACATTCTCACCAGCAGCAAGGTGGTGCTAGTTAGCATGAGAAAAATACAGAAAACCCTATCTGAAAAATAGCTAAGGCAAGCAGGGCATTGGTGGCTCACGCCTGTAATCCTAGCTACTCAGGAGGCTGACATCTGAGAATTGAGGTTCAAAGCCAGCCCTGGCAGGAAAGTCCCTATGAGACTCTTATCACTAATAAACCACCAGAAAACTGGAAGTGGCACTGTGGCTCAAGTGGTAGAGCGCTTGCCTTGAGCTGAAGAGCTCAAGGACAGCACCCAGGCCCAGAGTTCAAGCCCCATGACCAAAAACTCAAAATAAATAAAAACAAAAAACAAAAATCTAAAGCAAAACACAAAAGGTTAGGGGTGTAGCTCAAGTGATAGAACACTCTCCTAGTAATTCTTTTGTGTTTTTTCTTTTGGCCCCAAAAATGAAATACATTCATTTAATAAACCTAAGGCAAAAGAAGACACTGACTCTATAAGTCGTTCAATCTTACTCTGTCTTAGGAGGAAAGGGGAAGGAGGGAGCGTGAACCCAAGAAAGCCAGTTTTTCAGTTTGTTTTTTTTTTGGCCAGTCCTGGGGTTTGAACTCAGGGCCTGGGCACTGTCCCTGAACTTCTTTTGCTCAAGGCTAGCACTCTAGTACTTGAGCCACAGGGCCACTTCTGGCTTTTTCTATGTATGTGGTACCGAGGAATTGAACTCAAGGCCTCATGCATGCTAGGCAAGCACTCTACCACTAAGTCACATTCTCAGGTAGGAACCCAGTTATATAAAAGATGTTTACCTTTATCTTGATTGGTAGTGTATATTCCTGGTGGAGATTTTCCTCAGGGATTCAAGGGCGAGCTCTTGGTCCCAGTCGTCCTTTCCTGTATAAAGAGAAAGGAGCCATTTAAAAAACATAATTGAAGAGCTAAGTGCAAGGGAGGGGGAGGCCATACCTGTAATCCTAGCTACTCAGGAGGCTGAGATCTGAGGATGGCAGTTTGAAGCCAGCCTAGGCAAGAAAGGCTGAGATTCTTCTCATTAACTAGCAAAAGCTGGAAGTGGAGATATGGCTTAAGCAGTAAATCACCAGCCTTGAGTGTAAAAGCTAAGCAACAACCAGCACAAGGCCCTAAGGAGTCCAATGGAGCGCTCTTGGAAGGTAGTTATCATAGTGCAGGGCTCTTCTCATATCTTCTCTGCCAGGCTTTACACTGATTGCTTAATGGCTTGGGCAGTGCACCCAGCCCAGCTTTTTTCATTGGTGAAGTGAGCACCTAGGGTATTATGAGGAGGAGCATTTGAGCAGGAGCCTGAGACACTCTGAGAATAGGAATCACCATGATTGAACACGTACTCTATGGCATATGTTGTGTTATGTCCTTTAGTTTTTATCCCTAGCCACCTAACAGTTCACCTTCCTCTCCTACTCACTTGCTCAGATGGAAACTGTAATTGTCATTAGAAAACAGAGGCAGTGATTGCTCTAGACAATTTCCTGCTGAGTGAGGACAGACTAGGGTAGGACAGTATGGAATCATTCAGAAAGAGTGTTTTCGGCAGACAGGACATGGTTTGTGTGCTGTTCCAACAGACCAGAGTAAAACTTGAGAAAACAGTTTATAGGAGGCTTCTTTTTTTTTTTTTTGGGTACTGGGGATTGAACCCAGGACTTTGCCCTTGCTAGGAAAGCGCTTTGCTAGTGAGCTACATTGCAGCCCAAGGCTCCTTTTTTATTAGCTTTAGTAGCTTGTTGGATTCCAATTCAGAAGAAACACACTTAATAAGAAGGTTGAAAATACAGGTGCCAAATAGTAGCAGAATTAGGGGTCACCAGAAAGGTAGCAGCTAACACAAGTGTCTGCTCATGAGAGCTATCCTTGGATAGCTTGCTTCCTAAACTGAGATTAATCTGTGATGTCTAACAAAAAAATTAAATGGCTTTTGTTATAACCTTTTCATCAGTGCATATGATGCATATGATGTATTTCTTTTTAAAATTGTTATTATGAAGGTGATATCTACAGGAGTTGCAGTTACATAAGTCAGGTAGTGAGTACAATTCTTTTGGACAATGTCACCTCTTTCTTCGCTCTTGCCCAGTTTTTCCCAATGTACTTCTTTTTACCATTTTTATTGGCATCTATTTCTTTTTCCTTTTTTTTTTTGCAGTCATGGGGTTTGAGCTCAGGACCTGGGCACTGTCCCTCAGCTCTTCAGCTCAAGGCGAGCGCTCTACCACTTGAGCCATAGCACCACTTCTGGTTTTCTGGTGGTTTATTGGAGATGAGAGTCTCATAGACTTTCCTGCCCAGGCTAGCTTTGAACCATGATCCTCAGATCTCAGCCTCCTGAGTAGGTAGGATTACAGGCATGAGCTACTGGCACCGGGCTGGCATCTATTTCTTATACAAAGGGGTTTCATTGAAAAATTTCCTTATAGGCATATAATGTACCTAATCAAATTCATCCCCTCTATCAGTCCCTTTCAATCCTTTCCTGTTGAAACAATTTCAAAAGTTTTTGTTGTTTTATTTTCACACACTTATATTAAGAGTACTTCAACTATATTCACTCTCTTCCTCCTGCTAGTACCTATCTTTGAAAACAGAACCTGTTTTACATTCTTGTTATTCATTATTTGCCAGTGCTGTGGCTTGAACTCAGGGCCTAGGCACTGTCCCTGAGCTGCTGCTGCTGCTTCTTCTTCTTTCTTTTTCTTTTTTGCTCAAGGCTACTGCCCTACCACTTGAGCCACAGCGTCACTTCCAGCTTTTTCTGTTTATGTGGTATTGAGGAATCGAACCCAGGGCTTCATGTATGCGAGGCAAGCACTCTACCACTAAGCCACAATCCCATCCCCTCATTATTCACTTTTAAGGCCTAGTCCACATATTGAGAGCAAACACACAATTTTTGTCTTTTACTTTGGCTTGGATCAAATCCCATGGCCACTTTCTGAACTCTCATTGCATAGAGGATGGAACTGCACAGATCAGCTTAGCTTTGCTCAGACACCTCACCCCTGAGAAACTGAAGGGCAATGGAGCGCGGAGTAGGAATTGATACTAGCAGTACAAGCCCACAAGGTAGTTCCAAAAGCTAGGTATGGCTGTAGTTCTCTAATAAAAAATATAGTGACTCTTATTTCCTCACCCTCCCCACAATGTATGTTATTTGTAAAGCAGTGTTCTCAACCTTGGTACTACTTGTGTTTGGGGCCAGATTCTGCTATTGTTGCTAGGGGGGGGGGTGGAAGGTACTTGTTCTCTGGAAGGCAAAATTGCTTTTCTTGAACCATCATTTTATAGTTGAGCCTCTTAGATAAGAAAAAAAAATCTTCATCACAGATGTCTAGAGACATTTCCAATTGCCACAATTTTAAGGGTCTAGATAGTGCTACTGCCACCTAGTGGGTACAGGCCAGGGGTGTTACTAAACATACACACAGGATAACCTCCCCCCCAACCACTCAAACATGTATTTGGACCCAAATCTTAACAGTGTCCAAGCTGAGAAACCCTGTGCTAGCGAAAGTCACAAGATAGTGTCCAATCACCGTGCTTTAAAAAATTAATTTTACTATGATTTTTTTTGTTGTGTATGTGGTACTGAGGAATTGAATGCAGGGCTTCATGCATGCTAGGCAAACACTCTAACACTAAGCCACATCCCCAGTCTTTTAAAAAATTAAATGAGTTTATACAAATTAGTAGCGAAAGATAATACATTTTAATCAATGTGTTCAAGAGGAGAACTAATTTACATAGGATAGGGCTGTTTTTGTATTTGCCAAAGCTAGAAGGAAAACACTTCATGATACTGAACAAAAATAGACAGAGAAAAGAACATATTTTAATCAGAGAGTCCAGGTTCCATTTATTAAATATGTTACTTTCTAAAGTATGTTTTTAGGCTCTAGCTAGATTTGCACCAAATCACAGCTGGGTTTTAAGGATAAAATTTAACATTTAAAAGGCATCAACATTTGGGCTAGGAATGTGGCTTAATGGTAGAATGCTTACCTAGTAAGTGTGAAGCCCTGAGTTTGAGTCCTCAGTACCACATAAACAGAAAAAGCCATTAGTGGCACTGTGGCTCAAGTGGTAGAGTACTAGCCTTGAGCAAAAGAAGCTCAGAGACAGTGCCCAGGCCCTGAGTTCAAGCCCCAGGATTGGCAAAAACAAAAACAAAAACAACCGTCATCAACGTTCAGGTATAGCGCACTTCCTTACTATATACAAGGCACTGTATTTAATCTCCAGCCCTTCAATACATAACCATAAATACCATTTCATAATATGCTGATTTAATATAATTGTTCAATTCTACTGCTATGAATACTGCCCCAAATTCTCACTGACATAGTGGTTTGTGACTAATGTTAAATTTTGCTTAGTTCATTTTTTGTTATAAATTGAGAGGAAAGTTTCTTATTTATTGAAGATTTTGGAGTTCCTAATTCATAGCAGAATGAAATTTTGTGTTTGGTGGGGTTGGTGATAGTGGTGGTACTGGAGTTTGAACTCAGGGTCATACTTGCTGGGCAGGTGCTTTACCACTGAGCCATATCTCCAGTCTTTCCTTTTCACTGGTAATCTTTCAAATAAGGCCTTGCTTGCTGCCTGAGTGCATGTTTGGATCATGGTCCACCTTCTTGCTGTAGCTGAGATGACAGATATGCATGGTGACATCCAGCTTCATTCCATTAAGATTGAGCCTTATAAACATTTTTGCCTAGACTGGTCTAGAACTCTGACCATCCCCATCTCAGCCTTCTACAAGGCTAAAATGACAGGCACATGCCACCACACTCAGCCATTACCAAGGAGGTCTCACAAATTTCTCTGGCCCGGCCAGCTTTGAACCACAACCCTCCTGGTCTCAGTTTCCCAAGTAGTTATGATTGCAGATGTTAGTCACCAGCACCTAGCTACTATGTTAGGTAGTAGAGGAATTGTCAAATGCTAGTTCTGGAGAGAAGGAGGTAGATTGGTTTTCTTTTTTTTTCCCCTTGGGGCTATGCACTCTCCCTGAGCTTTTTTGCTCAAGTCTGGTGCTCTACCACTTGAGCCAAGCTCCACTTTGGGCTCTTTTGGTGCTTAACTGGAGGTAAGAGTCTTACTGACCTTCCTGCCTAGGCTGGTTTCAAACCATGATCCACAGATCTCAGCCTCCTGAGTAAGTAGGATTACAGGTGTGAGCCACTGGTGCTCAGCTAGAGCGAAAACATGTACTGAGAAAGTTAGAAGGGAATACTCTGTCTCTGGAAGGGAGGGAGGACAGTGAGGCTGGAATGGCAGTGAGGGGTGAGACTGAAAGCTGGGATTTGCTGTCAAGGGACCCCAGCCACCTTTTCTCTCCAATGAAGTTTCATGCTCTTTGTCCTCTCCTCTTTAGGAAGAGTCACTTTTTGCATCCAGTTACCTGATAATGCTACTAATTAATGTTAATTACGTCATTTCCAGCTGGTCCACTGTCTCAAGCACATTATCACCAATGGTTGTAGGGGTACTGAAGGCAGGAAATGTGGCTCATTGCGTATCACCCTCCCCACTGCTCCATGCCAACATCAGAACCACAGGTGGTGGCTCAGACCAACACTCACAGAGCAGAAAGAAGCGCCCACTGGAGCAGACAAATGACATACCCTGTTTGGAAAAAGGACACGCCCCCTCTGACAAATTACATGCCCCCTTTCTTCCACATACACCAGGTAAGAAGTTACCTTTGAAGAGAGGTGGGGGAAGGTGATCTTTGGGTTATGCTTCAGTTTAAATGTCGCACCGGAGGTGCGTTGTTCTTACAAGAGATGACACCTCCTTATCTTGGCCTTGTAAAGACCAGATCGTTATCAAAGTGGCAATGGCTCAGAGCCAGATGAATGGTTAATGAACAATCTTTCCAGAAAAATGTAGGCCAGGAGTCATATCCAGCTTTTATATCTGACTAAACTAAAATTATAGTTGGGGTTATCATCTTTTCTTAGCAATTTATTTTGACTGTAATTTGGTATTAGACAGTGCTATATACTTAGTAACGTTAGTCAGCCTTATTAAAATGGATCTGATGACACACTTTTTTTTCCTTTTAAAAATATTTTAAGTTTTTATTCTTTTCAAGATGTAGGCTGACTAAATAGGACATACTTTGTCTACAGGGATTTCTCAGAGTGAGGTAAAATAGTGAGCTTTACTATACATATGATTTTAATAAATAAATAAATAAATGTTAAAGTTGTATGTATATTAAAGTGTATTTTGCGTTATATGTTTACATTTATATCCATATTTAGCTTACAAATTTATATTTACCATTTAAATTCTTAAACATATACTATTTATATATAAGGTTTCCATATAGAGACACGACTACGTGCAAATACAACTTTATTTTTCTGAATGCCAAGCATGATTTCAATTTTCAAAACTACATGCGGTATTTATTTCGAAACCATGCAATGCATTGATTAGTTTAGGCAGCAGATTATGGTAAATAATGAAAAAGGTCTTTTGGTTCCAGCCCTGGCTCTTCAGGAACCTTTCAAAATGGTGGCTTGAGTCCACTTTCCCACCTCACCAAGTATGGTATAGGGAACATAATGGAATCTTTATTTATTTATTATCATTATTGTAAAGGTGATGTACAGAGGGGTTATAGTTGCATAAGTCAGGTAATGAGTACTGTAGAGAACTCTGAACCTGAGCTATGAAACCTGCGAAAGGTTTGAGAGGTTGGAATGCCACTTTGACAGCACTTGGAACACAGAGAGCTTTAAATGATGGTATTTGTTAAGACAAATGGGGGTTACTATAACAAATTACTGCAGACTAGGTAGATTATCAACAACAGAAATATCTAATCGTTCTAGAGGCTGGAAAAGCCAGGTGCCAGCAGATTCAGCGAGGAGGGTCCCCAGATATAAGCCTTCCTTAGGTCCTCACATGACATATGTAGGAAGGGGAAGGACATTCCCCTGGCTATTTGGGGTTTAAATTCTAGGCCTCATAATTGCTGGGCAGACACTCTACCACTGAGACATGAGTGTAGCTCCTTTTTTTTTCTGTTGGTCATGGGGCTTGATCTCTGGGCCTGGGTGCTGTCCCTGAGCAATTCAACTCAAGGCTAGTGCTCTACCACTTGAGCCACAGTGCCACTTCCGGTTTTCTGGTGGTTAATTGGAGATAAGAGTCTTTCCTGCCAAGGCTGGATTTGAACTTCAATCCTCAGATCTCAGCCTCCTGAGTAGCTAGGATTACAGGCGTGAGCCACCAAAGCCCAGCTTCTAGCCCCTTTTTGACTGGTTATTTTTGAAATAAGGTCTCTCGTTCTACATGGGCAAACCTTTGAACCACAATCCACCTATTTTAGCCTTCCTGTTGTAACTGAGATGACAGATGTACACTTGCAGGCCCAGCTTCTTTCTGTTGAGATAGAATCTTGAAGACTTTTCTATTAAGGCTGGCCTGAAATGGTGATCTTCCTAATCTCAGACTCCAGAGCAGCTAGAATTACAGATGTTAGCCACTGTCACCCAGTTGCCAGGCTTTACTTCTTGAATCCCTTGCTTTCGAAAGTCATCACATTGGGTGATTTCTACAGGATGATTGACGATTTCTACATGAATTGTGCGAGCACGCAGACATTGAGGCCACAGTAACGCTGATGTTGTTTTGCTTCTGGTATCCAATTCTGAATGTTGTTCTCATTGTGTCTCATGGATATGAATACATTTGGGGTATGCTCATTTGCTAGTGATTTTCCTCTTTCAAGTGTTTGAAGGTTTTCATCAAATGAGGTTCTAATAAACTGAAAGCCTCACCTGAGTAAAGTGCTTCCCTTTAGAAATAATAAGAAATAAAGAGAGGCTGTGATTTCTGAAGTCCCTGCTAGAATATCTATAATTTCTCATATAAATGTTAAGAAACCCCAGAACTTCTATGCAGCTTTTTGTGGGGGTTGGTGCTGGGCTTGAAATCAGGGCCTGGTTGCTGTTCTGTCTTTTGTTTGTTTGTTTAAGGTTAGTCTATGCAGTTATTTTGATTCAAGGACAAAGGTAAAGCTTGCCTTGTGGGAAACCGCCCCCCCCCACCAAAATGCACCTCTTGCCTTATATGGCCTATGGGCTAAAAGTTCCCCACCTCTGTTAGAGTACTTGCCATCTCCTCCTAACTCATTTCCTGCCTCCTCTCATCCCGCTTCAGGCATCTGTTTACGGTTAGTAAGCTAAACAACTAAGTTCAAGTCCCACAACCAACAACAATAACAACGACAACAAGCCGGTGACTCATGCCTGTAACCCTAGCTACTCAGGAGGCTGAGATCTGAGGTTCGCAGTTAGAAGCCAGCCTGGGCAGAAGTCCCCTAATGAGACTCTTATCTCCAATTAATCACTCAATAAAACCAGAAGTGGTGCTGTGGCTTAAGGGCCTTGATCACAAAGAGGTTCAGGGACAGCACCCAGGCCCTGAGGTCAAGCCCCACAACTGACAAAAAAAAATCTAAACAAAAGAAGACCAAAATTGATACACTGGGAAGGTGGTGCATACCTCTGATCCCAGAACTCAGTGAGCTGAAGCAGGAAGATCACAGGTTTGAGGCCAGCCTGGACTACATAGCTAGATTCCGTCTCAATAAAAGAAAAAGAAAAGAAAAAAAGATCATGCCTGTAACCCTACTTGCTCAAGAGGCTGAGATGAAAAGAATCACAGTTCCAGGCCAGTTTATGAGAAAAGTTTGTGAGGCCCACCCCCACCTGATTTCAACCAATAAAAAGCTGGACATGGTGTCATGTGCACCTGTTATCCCAACTGCAGAAATATATAAATAGGAGGATCACAGACTAGAGTGGCCCAAACCCCTATTTGAAAAATAATGAAGGTAAGAAAAGGACTAAGAGTATGGTTTAAGTGTGATAGCACAAGCTGGGCGCTGGTGGCTCACGCCTGTAATCCTAGCTACTCAGGAGGCTGAGATCTGAGGATCGCGGTTCAAAGCCAGCCCGGGCAGGAGAGACCTTGAGACTCCTATCTCCAATAAACCACCAGAAAACCGGAAGTGGTGCTGTAGCTCAAGTGGTAGGGCGCTCGCCTTGAGCTGAAGAGCTGAGGGACAGCGCCCAGGCCCAGAGTTCAAACCCCACGACCGACCAAAACAAAACAAAAAAAAAGTGTGATAGCACATACCTAGTAAGTTCAAGGCCCTGAATTCCAACCCTACTACACCAAATAAAAGAACTAGGTGATTTCTAACAACAAAAATGAATTCAAAATGGACCACAAATGTAACTGTAAATGCTCAAAGAAGAAAACTACAAGAAGAAAACATAGAGAAATATCTTTGTGACCTTAGAGCAGACTATGTCTTAGAATTTTGGGCACAAACACAATCTGGAAATTTTTTTTAAACTCTGATAAATTGGACTTGATCAAAACTAAGAAATTTCTGTTTTTCAAAAGGCACTTAAGAAAGTACAAAAACAGGGCTAGGAGCATGGCTCAAAAAAGTAGAGCACCATTGGGGCTGGGAAGGTGGCTCAGTGGTAGAGCGCTTACCTTGCATGCCAGAGGCCCTGGGTTCGATTCCTCAGCACCACATAAGCAAAAAAAGAAAAAAGCCGGAAGTGGCTCTGTGGCTGAAGTGGTAGAGCGCTAGCCTTGAGCTGAAGAGCTGAGGGACAGCGCCCAGGCCCAGAGTTCAGGCCCCACGACCGGACCCCCCCCCAAAACAAAGTAGAGCACCTGGCTAGCAAGAACAAGGTCCTGACTGCAATCCCTATTACCACCAAAATAAATACAAAAGTAAGTTATAGACTTAGAGAAAATATTTGCAAGATACATAATTTCTACAGTATTTAAAGCAAAGTATATAAGAATTCGCAAACTTCAATGATAAGAAAACAAACCAATTTAAAAAAGAGAGAGCCCGGTGCAGGTGGTTCATGCCTATAATCCGAGCTACTTGGGAGGCTGAGATCTAAGTATCACGGTTCAAAGCCAGCCCAGGCAGAAAAGTCCTTGAGACTTTTATTTCCAATTAACCACCAAAAACTGGAAGTGGCACTATGGCTCAAATGGTAGAGTGCTTGGCTGGTGCTGAAGAGCTCAGATAGTGCCCAGGCTCAGAGTTCAAGCCCCACAACCGACAAAAAAAGAGAGAGAGAGATTAAAAAATGTTTTTCCAGTAGGGTGCCAATGGCTTACACCTGTAATCCCAGCTATTCAGAAGACTAAGATCTGAGAATCGCAGTTCGAAGTCAGCCCAGGAAGGAAAGTCCATTAGCCAGTTATCTCCAACTAGCCAAGAAAAAAGCTGGAAGTGGAGCAGGAAAAAAAATCTAAGACAGGGTCAGAGCAACAACTAAAGTTCAGTACAAATCAGATGGGGCTGGGTGGACAGAGTTTTCATCTTAGGGAGATGCATCCCAGTATGTCTGCGGAGTTGCAGCATTTGGACCATGCTCAAGGACTGCAAGTAAGGGTGGAAAATGGCCCAGACCATGTTTTCTTTTTTTAACTTACAGTTTATTTTTTTTGTGCCAGTCCCAGGGTTTGAACTCAGGACCTGGGCACTATCTCTGGGGTCTTTTACTCAATACCAGCACTCTACCACTTGAGCCACCGCTCCGCTTCTGGCTTTTTGGCAGTGTTAACTGGAGATACGAGTCTTAGAGACTTTCCTGCCCAGACTGGCTTCAAACCATGATCCTCTGGTCTCAGCCTCCTGAGTAGCTAGAGTATAGGCGGGAGCCATGGGCGCCCAGCTGAATTGGGGAAGAATGCTGGGAACAGCATGAACAGAACAAGCAAAGCAGGACATGACAGACGCAACAGTTCTTTAAGATCCCACTGGGATAAATGACTACTTTCATGACAGCGAAAGTCCTCTGAAAATTGATGGATGAGGAAACCACCGGATTTAAAAAAAAAAAAACAAAACACGTCTCTTACATTTGTGGTGATTGATCCTGCCTTGTATAGCTTTAAAAGGAAACAGAAAACATAGGCCTGAACCCCCACGCCCCACGCCCACCGTGCAGGGTTGGGCTACGCCCACAAAGTCTTGGCGGCGCCTGCCTACCAAGTGCGCATGTGTGGTAACGGTAATTTGTAGGCCGGAACCCGCTACCATTCGGCTCGGGGAGCACCGGGACTGGCACGGAGTGCATTGCGACCAGCACGAGGATACTGGGATTATAGCAAAGGAGGATGTGACTGAAGCCGCCAAAGGTAGGTAGTTTTCAGAGATCCTCAACTTTTCCATGTTGGCTGGGGCCCCGGTTCCAAGGCCATGGGCTTAGAGTTGGAAAGGTTCTCACTTCGCTTTTCTTCTTTCTCTTACCAGTACTGGGGCAGGAAATCAAGGTCTTGCACTCTGTGTGTGTGTGTGTGTTGTGTGTGTGCGCGTGCGCACGCGCGGAGACATTTTCCCCTATGTGTCGGTACCGGGGCTTGAACTTAGGGCCTGGGCGCATCTGGTAGCGTTTTCTGCGCATGGCTGGTGCTCAACCACGTGACTCACGGCTCTAGTTCCACTGTGTGTAAAGTTTTACAGGAGCACATAAGTAAGTGGCTTTACTCGCCTAACTCCTTCATTCTCAACCCCTCCCCACCCCCACCCCACCCCACCCCCACCGCTGAACGCCATCTCTTCTTTTCCTTTAGCGTGCCAGTTTTGTGTGACCATGCAGAAAGCTTTAGAACAGGCATTGGAAGATTCAGACAATGTCAATGCCGGAGTCCAGCACAGGAGCCCTAGAAGGAGACCCTTAACTAGTGAGGAAAAGTCTCTGCAGGAAAAACTCTATGACATTTATGTTGAAGCATGTGAAAAGGACACTGAGGTGAGGGAGTTCAGAAGCAGCGAGAGCTTGCTAGACCAGCTTATCAGGAGTGAGGACTTTCCTTGTCTGGTGATTGACCTCAACCCAGGAGATCAGGGCTGTTTTGCAATGATCTTGGACAAAGATGGCTCCCTTTCAGAGAGCATTGCGCTGCCTTATTCAGGAGAGAAACTGCTTGAATATTTAGATGCAGAAGAATTACCGCCATATCTGCTCAATATCTTGGAAAACTCTGAGGTGAACCTTTTCCATCATGGCTGTGTCTTAGCAGAAATCCGTGACTACAGACAGTGCAGCAGTAGGGAACTATCTGGTTATCAAAGTCGGCATATTCTCTTGAAACCAAAGGTGAAGACTTTAATGTGTGATATGGAGTACATGATAACTGGAGGCCATCATTGGACTCAGGAAGAGAAACAGGAGTTTGAGAGCCAGATGATCTTAGCAACAGCAGACCCATTGTGTCTTGATCCTTCGGTCTCTGGAAGCTGCACTAACAAAAGACTGCGGTGCAAGAGGCCGGATGGGAGGGATGAGTCGGTGAGACCTAGCTTTATGAGGTCTCCATGGCACAGCGTGGATTGGCAATGGGAGCTGCCTAAATACACAGCGAGCCCTGGGTTTGAGGCAAAGACTGTTTGCAAAAAACAAGCGGAAAGAAGTGGCCACCCTTATGATCTGGTGATTGCGGCGGCGGCGGCGGCGGCGGCGGTCGAGCCCGGGGACACAGAACAGCAGAGACCCTGTGATGTGGATGTGCCTTCTGAGCTAGATGTGCAAAGATATGCAAAAGGGAGTTCGTTTGTCCCATTTGGTGGCTCACAGGCAGCCGCCTGGGCCGTTCCTGAGGCAGGAGATGAGTTTGCGTTGGCATATGAACCCGGTGATCCGGCCAGGGACATGAACTTTCTTATCATGCAGTCACTTAATGACCCACTTCTTTCTGACAGCCCATGGGCAGCTCAAGAAGTTGGGTGTGACAGGCAGATGAGTCCCCCTTACATCTTCTCAAGTTACCCACGGGATGCGTTGATGGCAGGGTCCAAGCCCAATGCAGGGCGGGCTGCTGGTGCAAGCCAGGAGTCTGTTCAGGGCAACGCTGCACGTTCACTGTCCAGTAAGATGAAATCCAAGTCCGGCGGCTCAGCTGTAGTCAGCAAGGCCTCTTCAGGGAAGAAGCCCAAACTGCCTACCTCCTGGTGGGTCCCATCTCCCGCCTCAGAATTACCTTGGGGGACAGGAGTCAATCTTGCCTGCGTCTCAGTATCAAGGGGTGTAGCATTCCAAGCCAAGAGCTCTCGCAAGCTCAGGCGTCTGGCTCCTGGTCCAGCTCCTCCTCCCAAACCTCCTCCCAAGCCTCCTCCCAAACCTCCTCCCAGGCTCCCTCCCAAGATTGCTCCCAAACCTGTTCCCCCGCCCCCGCCGCCCCCACCCCCGCCCCCTCCCCCACGCCCTCCCAGGCTTGCTCCCAAGCCTGCCCCCCCTCCCCCTCCTGATCCTCCATCCCTTCGCAGTCCCACTCCTACCACCCCTTCTTCCAGTCCCACTCCCACTCCTAGTCCGCCCGGGGCTCTGGCTTCCCATCTCGACCCCCCTCCCACACCTGCTCTCCCCACCCCTCCCCTTCCCTCTTCCACTGCTGCTTCCCTTCCCACTCTTACCCCCCCTCCAGCTCCCAGTCCTGTCCCCACTGCCACTGCCATGCCCACCGCCGCTCCTGCTCCCAAGCCAGCCAGCCTGGCTGGGAGATCCCGAGCAAGGGTCGTCAGGAGGAGTAAAGGGCCTCACGCGGCCAAGGGCCCTGCTAGCTCGTCAGAAAGCACCCAGGCCCCCAAGGCCCCCACCAGCTCAAGCAACCCGAAAGCCACCCAGGGGGCGCAGAAACCTTCAGCTCTGGTAAGTGGCTCAGTGTTGGGGCCCTCTGGTGCCCCCATACCTGGGCAGGTCTCTCCTTCTGGTGGTCTTCTGTCCCTCGGAGTCCAGCTGCCCAATGCCCCGGTTGGATTAATGCAACCCCCTCCTCCCATGGCCATGCAGTTTCTTGTGAATAATACGTTAAGTTCCATCACAGTGCAGATTCCCCCCGGGGGTGTGGTCTTGAACCCCCAGCCTCAGTTATATCAGTTGCTTCCACAGCAACAGCTTCTACAATCCAGAGCGCCTCCTCCTCCACATCCAGTGCCCTCGGCTTCTGTGCAGGGGTCTGGCAGTCAACAGTGGACCACCCCTGTGCAGGGGTCTAGCAATCAACAGTGGGTCAACCCTCTTCAGGGGTCTAGCAGTCAACAGTGGGTCACCCCTGTGCAGGTATCTAGCAGTCAACAGTGGCTCACCCCTGTTCAGGTGTCTAGCAGTCAACAGTGGGCCACCCCTGTGCAGGGGTCTAGTGGTCAACAGTGGGCTACACCTGTTCAGGGGTCTAGCGGTCAACAATGGAGCACTCCTGTTCAGGGGTCTAGCAGTCAACAGTGGGCCCAGTCACCTCGGCAAGGGGTAGTTGTTACCCTTGCTGGCATGGGGAGTTTCCTGCTGCCCCAAGCAACTCTATTGGAGCAGTCAACACCTGGGCACATTATTCTGCAGAATTGCCAGCCCCCTCCTCCTGCCCAGCCACAGCAGGTGCAGGTACAAGCCCAGAGCGCACAGCAAAGTGTCAGGCAGGCTCCATTTCCCCAGGCCACATTGACCGTCCAGAATGCTCAGCCTCATGGCTCCGGACACACAAGGCAAAGGAAAGGGAGAGCAAAGAAAGCCAGCTCAACTATGCAGAAGCCCTGAGTCTTGCCTTACTTGGCATCTCACAAAGCACATCAGCTTTGACTTAAATAAATTCCAACCTTTTACTTGCTTTTTGGTACTTTTTAACAGCTCTGTAGTTTACCTTTGAAACTTCAAACTTTGCACAGTAGCCCAGGCCCATGATTTTTTTTTAACATAAAAACAGGAATGGGCATTTACAAACTGCCATTGCTTTCCTTGAGTTAATTTTAATTGTTGACATGGTTATTTTTATTGTCCTAACATGATTCCACATTGAAACTAGGTTCATTTATAAGTCTTCCAATTTAGAGTTGCCCTAAACAATAAAACTGGCATGCTACTTGTAGCAAGGTGAACTGGTTTTTAATTTTTTTAACTGTCACGCAAATATTACACATTTATCTTATGAACTATTTTTAAGGAAACTGTTGTTCAAAAGAATTTTAGAACTCCTAGAACGGAAACCTAGCTCCTCATTTTATACCATTTAGCCCCTGGCTGCCCCCTCCAGTTTTGTGTCCACATGAAGTGGAGATTCTTGACGCTTATGCAAGTGCCTCATTCTGTGTCTGTCATTTGGAAATTGGCCATTTCAACTTGGCATGATGCCCTCAAGGTTCATCCAAGTTCCCCTGTGTCTCAGGCTGACACTGTAAAAATGGTTTCCCAGTGTGTGATATATAAGGAAGTGGGGACATCTAGATTATATGTCATTATTATATATTTGAAGTAAAAAGAAAGCCTTCTAGGTGAACATGGTGTTTATTCTGTTTTAAAGGTTTGTTTGCAATATATATAATGTAATTGTTGAAAATGCACTTCAGGGGCTGGGAATGTGGCTTAGTGGTAGAGTGCTTGCCTAACATGCATGAAGCCCTGGGTTCCATTCCTCAGTACCACATAAACAGAAAAGGCCAGAAGTGGTGCTGTTGCTCAAGTGGTAGAGTGCTAGCCTTGAGCAAAAGAAGCTCAGGGGCAGTGCCCCAGGACTGGCAAAAAAAAAAAGAAAGAAAGAAAGAAGGAAAGAAAGAAAAGAAAAGAAAATGTACTTTGAAAAACTAAACCAGCAGAAAGTACAATAAAGGATACATCAGAGATCTGCACACCTGTGGAGTAGAGTGGGGGACTCATGTGACTGACCCTGTCCCTCAAAGGGGACCCCCTACATGCTGTGTTCCTTCTTACCCCACCTCTCCTCTTCCAGGTACTGCCAGTGGCCTACAAAGGGCACTTCTGGGATGGCTTCTCATCTCCCTCTCTGTATTTAATTTATATTTTATATTTACATGTATTGTTATCTGTTACTTCTTTAAGCATATTATTCCTTTAAGCAGCTGTATATTTGCATTTTAGGACAGTAGGTTCCTTGCAAAAAGGTAAGTAAACACTTGAAATCTATTTCATTTGTTTACTCTTTATATCTCCACAGCCTTCTTAGATTTCTAAGTCATTGTATTTCTTTTCTCATTGTACCATCAAGCACTCAGTCCTCACTGACCCCAGATGCTCACCCCCACCCAATTTCCTTTTATCTCCATAAATTGGAGGTGTTCAAAATTTCCTTT